ACTTGCTCTCTGTGAAGTGATGGCTTTAAACACCTTTAATATTCTCTTATCAGCATCGCTCGAAACTTTAACATTTAATACATCACGGTTGACCGCTGCCGAAACTATAAATTATATTTGTACGTGTGCGAGAAAGCTACGAAATATCGTAGATTAGGTAGATACGGACTGCAAACTACTTGTGACAACGATGGAGATTGCTATTCCCACAGACTTCAATTTTCTTTAGCCGCCATCCGTATATTACAGTATTTCGTTTTGAAATTTGCAAACATACAGCAATCTATATTTATATTCATTTTGATAAGTAAATTTGCAAACGTAAACAATCTGTGTGATTGGCCAATTTTGAGATCTGTTTAAAGTGGGCGTAGCCCGCAGGCTAAGTGGACGGAAATGGCAAAGCAGGGGGTTTCGTGCACGCTTTACTTTCTCTGAGAGCTGTTACGCAGGCTAGGTCAATCTCTGATGAAACTACATTGACGAAATATGCAGTTTTATTCGTGCCTGGTTCCACACTCTCTTTATCCTTATTTTTACATTCATTCTGATTATCTGTGTCGATGTTACATTCAGACGTGTTCGGTTTTGACTCTATTTTTACTGAGCCTATGAAGAACTCATTATCCTCAGACTCTGTAGACTCACTTTCATTTTCAACATGCACTGCTTCACTCGTTTTGATGTCAAGCATACAGCAGCAAAATGATTTGATTTACCACAAGATGTACAGACTTTACCATAAGCTGGACATTGTCCTCTATCATGTAGTTTACTACAATATCTACAAGGCTTGAATTTTGAAAATTTTGACCCTTTAGTTTCTTTGAAATATTTGGATTTTGGCCTTTGTTCGTATTTTGTATTGTTTCGTGTTTGATTGTTTTGCTTTCTGTTGTATTTACCATTAACTTTAACAGCTCCTATTTTATTATCAGAGTCTACTGTATGTTTCTGAATTTCATCTGTTTGTTTTCTAGTGTCTTCATCAGCTTTACATAAAAGAACTGCTCTATCTAATGTCAAGTCCGACTCTCTTAACAGTCTTTCTTGGAGTTTCAAGTTGCTTACACCACACACTATTCTGTCTCGAATCAAGCTTTCAGTTAATTCCTTAAATTCGCATTCTTGCGCTTTAGTTTTAAGATCATTTATAAAGTCATCGATTGGTTGATTTTCTTGTTGCTTTACATTAAAGAATTTAAACCTCTGGAACGTGATGTTCGATTTAAGACAAAAGTGGGCATCAAATATTTTTCTGTTTTATATTTCATGCTATCTTCATTACTGTCGAATATAAAATTATAGTATACTTCCCTACTTCTGTGGCCAATGCACGTCAATAATGTTGAAGTTTTTATGTTGTCTGCTTTCTTATCAGTCTCTGTAGTGACCAAGAAGAATTCAAATTCTCTTTTCCACCTATGCCATGCTTCATATATATTTGCATTGTTATCCAAATTTAACTCCTTAGGCGGCGGACCTTTGCAGCCATAATATCTTCCTATCTTCTTCAAATAAGACAAGAATTCTTCACACCTGACACCATGTTTTATATTGTGTGACAACTAATAAGTATAAGACTTTAACTCTTTTTTGACAACCCCCTCTCGCATCATATTACGACACAATTTTTCTAATATAAATATCTCGGCGAGTATTTACCCCCCTTTGTAATCCTCACTTTTGTAATACCACCATTGTAATCCTCACAAAATAACCTTTCAAATGGGGGGTCGAGTGCCGTCTGAACATTACACAAACCGAAACAATCATATATTTACTCACCGCTTGGCCAAAGATTCTAAATTTCATATACACAAGATCTTGAATATCTCTTGAACATTTCATCATTTGCTGAACGGCTATATGTGTAAAATACTCTTTGTATTCAAGCGCTTTCGTGTACAAAATTTTGTTTGAATACGGCGAGTAGAAGTATTTATTTTGACTTTTTCAAGATGTCGGGTTTCACTCGCACTTGCGTACATTGTGCAATAATTGGCCAATAAGAAGCTCCTTTGGCCGGGATGACGTCAAACTCACGCGTGTAGGTGCAATTTGACCTTGCGAATCCATTTCTGGCCTTTGCAGGGTCATACAATACAAGCTTC